AATTTTTATGGAATGGAATGTTCAGTTGAGTCGAATCTAAAAATTGAAACGAATATTCAGAAACTTTTTTGTAAATCTATCACGATAAAGAAATAGCGTTATTACTAATGTTAAAATTAGTTAGTGCGAAAAGCAAGAAATGTTGGCGTGATATTTCGATATTTAAGAGTGTATGAAAATTTTATTTCGCTTATAACGTTTTATTGCAACAGTAGAAATATATACACGAAAAAAATATACACGAAAATTCTGGATACAGTTAATGTTTACACAAAGAATGAGGTCCCAGCAAATGAGAATAGATTAAAATGAATTGAAATTTTTTTCTATCCGAATGCGAATTTTAAGTAGCGAACACTTTTTTTAGATTTAATTGGATTCAATTGGATTCAATTAAATTCAACTAGATGCAACTGGATTGAAATATTGCATTTCCTAATTTTAAATTGAACAGTATTCACAATGTGTCATGTGTGCACAGAAAAAGCTAATATTATTTTTAGATTGAAAGGTATAGAGATATGCTCCAATTCCTATAAATGAATAAAAATGCATTCAGGATTGAAAAACATTTATTTTGTAAATCAATATTTCTGAAAATCTGAATCTATTTCAATTCATTCTTTATTGAGATGACTAAAGCACTATAAACGTGAATATTCACATATCTGCCATTTTTATTCCTTTTCCCACTTCTTGCTCTGTTGTCTCTTCGTCGCTGAACTGAAATTGTTATGGTTATTATAGGTTATAACTTCTAAGCTGTTGGAAACTTTCCAGTCAGAAATAATTTCTCGAAAAGACATCGTTTCGATGTCGAAAATAAAAGTCGAAAGTTTTCGAAATTTCTATTGATTTTAATGGATTTTTGATTTCAATTTCGATTAATTTTCGAGTTGGAAATAAAATCTTAAATTGATTTAGTCAGCATAAAAATATATTACTAGTGTCATTAATAATAAGTAAATCCGACAAGTAGTATCACTAATAGTGTAATAGTGAGTGTAATAGTGTAATAGTGTAATAGTGTAATGGAGAAAATTTCATTGAAATTTAAAGTTTCATTGAAATTTTATTGTGAAAATAACATTATTGATTAGCATCATATTTCAAAATTATAATAAAAAAAATTTATTTTATGAATTCAAGAATTAATTTTATGATGCACCCATGCGCGGTCATCCATCCGAATCCGAATCCACTTACTTATGTTTCATTTCTATGATCGTATGGGAATTACTCTTTCGAAGAACCATAAACATCTATAATGCTAATGGATGTATAGTTATAATATATCTGTTCAAAAATGTGAAAGAGGCGGAACACATAAAAAAAAAATAATTAATGTTAATAATAATGTACAAATGATGACACTTATATATGATAATAACTTGTTTCTAATAATACTGTAAAATATTATTTTTATTAGCTGAAATAGTACTAATTGCTCTAATGATATATATATATATTTTTTTTTTACTCTAATAAATTTTTACCAAATATTACAATTACTAGAAGCAGTATGTTACGTCATATGTCGTCATATATAATAGTAATACTACTGCAGTAGCAGTGACACTAGTAATTTTTTATACTTCTAAATGATATTGGAAACTTGATAGATCAACATTTAAATTTCATTAATTTAAAAATCGAGATCATTTCGATATCGATTCGAGTTAGAATTAATTAGACTTTGATGAAGTCGATATTTTTCCTTGATTTCGCTCATTTATGGTAAGAGATATTATTCCCTGAAATTCCACAATACAAAAGTGCATAATAAAATTATATTAAATAAACTACAAAGTACAAAAAAAAGTAATGTTATTCAGCAGGAGTAGAACAATAAAATAAGATACAAAGAATTATTAGAAGAAAATATGTAGACTTTATCGACAGTAAAAAATGTTCCGATTCATAAAAAAAAATTCCACAATTTTTAAAAAGTTATAAAATTATTTATAAATTCTGAAAAATTTTACGAAAGCTTCTATGATTAGAGCGACATTGCAGTTGTCGAAATGAAATAAAAAAAAATGTCGATTCGACCTTTGAATGAAAATATTCAAAATATAAGATGACGTATCACAAATTTATACCAAAAATATTAAAAATATATCAAACTCTCATTACACTCTCTACATATGTAATTTTTTGTCACTCGAAAATGTTGAAATTTCGATGCAAGTTTCGAATCGACAATTTTTTAATCGTAACGATGTTGAAACAATGTCTTTTCAAGGGACTATTTCTGACTGGGCTTGTAGCTTCGTATATTTATGTATTTCCGCACTTCGAAATTTTACCGTAAGACTAAAAGACGAAAAGAAGGATATAAAAAAAACTAAAATATTATATATTAACGAAGGCAAAAAAATTTATAATGTCTTGTTGCAGTAAATTGCATCAATAGATCAGAAAAAGGTATTCGATTATTTAAATTTCCTGCGGATAATATTCGTTGACAGCTTGCTATATTGCTGTAAAATAAATACATGACTTGTGAATAAACATCACTATACTTTCTCGCAGATGAGAAATTTCAATCTTTTTCTTTAAATTGACGTACATATTTGGCACTTTATCTAGAAATAATCTGAACGCCAGACACTCTTCAGGTCCTGCACTAATATTACGATAGATATTCACTGAGAGCAAAATGAATGAATGAAAGGAGCTACAATTTCAAGCAGAGTAAATAAATATAAATCATAACCTGTGGTGGCCATAACCCGTTACAATTCAGTAATGGAACGGGGACAGAGCAAGAAGTGAGAAAAAGAATAAAAATGGCGGACGCGAATACTTACGTTTCTAGTGCACTAATGGCGCAAATGACAATTTAGTCCTTGAAATGAGGATGCCGTCCCATATACACGGAATTAGAACGACGGAACGAATTTCTTACTAGAAATCAGTTCACTAGCATTCCGTGAAGGTGAAATCATACGGTTCGGAATAGGACTGCGAAATACAGAATGCGTCTGCGATTGAATCTATTAATCAGCGCTATTCCGCATTTAATGTTGCGGAATAGCGAGTGTGTCATTGTTCTTGTAATAAATCGTCATATTTTGAGAGGTTAAAATAATTTGATACTGAATGATATGATGGAATTACGCAATGTCGAAACGAATGAAGCAAAATAACAAAATCTGAGTGCATAAATATACCAAAAAAACAATGATGCATTACGTGCGATTTCAGTATGCCTTTTTCCGCACTTTTCTATCATGCCAGTTTTATGTTCACACGATGCGGAAAAATGATAGTAAATGCGTTAAAACAGTTCAAAAAATTGTTATAAGATTATAAATATTAATAAAATGTAAAACATTAAATACTACATCATTGATAATTGTTATTAGAATTTGAAAAATTATATTTCATTTTAATAAGCAAATTATTAACATGAAGTTAGTAGTTTTTAAATTACTACCTTGATCAAAAAGTTTCCCGGAATTCATTCAGAAAATACAAGTTTTATTCATCAAAAGTGATATTGTCCCCTTCAAAGTACTCCCTCACTTATGCCAGCGCTTGATCCAGCTCTCGAAACATTTCTGGAACTCTATTGTCGGTATAGCTATCAGAGCTGTTCGATTTTTCCATTACTTTTGACTGTTAAAACGCGTTCCCCGTAATGGTTTTTTTCATGCCACTCATAAACGGCTGTTTTCTTTAGAGTATCACTGCCGAAACAGTTTCCCAACATTTCCAAGGTTTCCACACCATTGAATCCATTTTTAACGCAAAATTTAATATAAACTCGTTGTTGCAAATTCAACTCCATTTTTAAAACTGTAAAAAATCAAAAATACGTGCAGAGGTAGATGTACTCAAGACGGTGTAACTTTTACAAATGTCAAGCTATGATAAAATTTGGTGGGAATGTCAATGATAGATGGCAACCTAACCAAAAAAACAGAACTCAAATCAGTTGACTCAGAGCATCACCTGTTGATAATTCCAGGAACTTTTTGATCAAGATGATATATTCATGCTGGATATTTTGACGCATTATGTGAACATAGCATATGAAACTTGCGTGATGAAAAAGTGCGGAATAGCGCTGATTGGTTGCTTCACGACTCATTCTGTATTCTGTAGTCCTATTCCGAATCCTGTGATTTCCCAAGAAGTTTCTTTACTATATCAGAACTACCGGAATCATAGCCGGAACGATATAGAGATGATACTGAGTCAACGAAATATCATGTCGATTGCAGGCTATTATTGATGGTTGAGAATTTGACAACTTCGAAGAAGAAAATTAATAATAATTCTTATTTTTCAATGTGATATATTCTTGTTTTATATATACTTGTTATATAGTCCAATTAATGCCAGTAGTTCTTCAGATAATATCGATGTCATTCTAAAGTAATTGAAGAACTTCCCTAACAGCACAAAGTCGTCTCTGAGTCGACTTAGAGACTATAGTTTCTAGACGTCTGAAAAACGGACAACATAAGTCGACTTTAGATGACTTGGAGACGTCTCTAAGTCATACAATGTCCCATTTTAAAGACGACTATAGTAAGTCGATTTTAAACAACCATACAGACATTCTAGAATGTAGCGCGCATGCGCATCTTGCAATGGCGGAAATAAATCGGGAAAATCTATCTTTAGGTTATATTTTTCTTACGGCATTTTCCGTTGGGACTGCACCCATCCAGTGTTTCTATAAGAACGTGTTCAAATTTGCACTGCCTCCGTGTAAATATATATAATATAATTTTAACAGTATATACTTTTATAGAAACACTACTGCGCAATCCCAAGGAAATATATCATTAGATTATTATTTATAAAAATCATTAAATTATTACTCTAAAAATAATATATAGATATTTATTATTTGCATTATTGTAGCATGTTACATTTATATATTTTATATTTTTTCTATTTATTAAAAATAATTTTAATATAATAATGTTTTATTATATTTTATATATTGTTTATACTGATTTTGTTTTGTAACGCTTCTTATTCTGTCATCTGAGCGATGGAACCATTCTTCGATGGCTTCTTCTAATTCGGCAGACGTCACCTGGTAACTGTTTTATCACCGAGTCTGAAATATGTACAATTATAAAAGAATTGCATTAATAAAAATAAAAGTATAAAATAATATTTATAAACATAAATTTTATAAACAAACCAATTAAATATAAGGCAATAGGTTTGTTCTGATTGATTACACTGTTCTATTTTTGCACCAATGCAAATTTTTTTTTAAATAATCAATCAATGAGAATTTGCATGTTTCAAACAAGTATAAAAGTATGGATAGAGCACTATAATATATTATAGGTATTCGCATCCGCCATTTTTAGTCCTTTCTCTACTCTTTATTCTCTCTTCAACCTTCAACCTTCTCTCTTCTTATCTAAGCGATGGAATGGAGAGCAAGGGATTGAGAAAAGAAGCAAGAGAGTGACAAAAGGATTAAAAACAGCGGATGTGAATACTCTGCATATTATAGCCTTAGTATGGATAACCAAGCTATATATTCCAAAATTATCTGTTAGCACCGACAAGGTATTAAGATGGCTAGGATGTATTAGTGAATTTACACCACTTTTCTGACCTGTCCATGATATTTGAGTGCTACATCATTAGAGATAATAATTTGTGTATATAATAAAGTATTTCTAATAAAATGCTTACTATGCTTTCTAATAAAATGCGTCAAAACCTCCGATTCAACATATGTTCCTATAATATAGTTACAAAAAATATACACAAATGGAATATTATGATTGGAAGAAATATATATATACGACAGCGAAAATGAAACATGTTTGAAAACAAGTCGATATTATTAAGTTAATTTGGTACCTATCATTATACATCTTTTTATGTAGCACTTTTTTGCCACTTAATTCTCTATTTTCATTATGTCATACTTTAATATTATATCAAATTCTTTTCAATATAAAATTATCAAATTTAATATAAATAAAAAAAGTCCTTGATGATACATGAGAAATTAAACATGACGAAATTCAAAAGTTATAAGATGGCGAGTAAATTTCTAAGAAAACACAATTTTCCTAACGGATAATACAAGCATTTAAAGTAATATTTAATAAATATGACAATATGAATATACTTATAAATTGTTTTCTCATGTTGGTATTCACTTCCAACTGATTTTCGCACTGCAAGAACTGTTTCAGCGTCATTAGAAGCAATGGAGGTAACAGATGTCTTGCGCTATAACCTCATCCTGCATTCCCCTCTTGTAGTAGAGCTTCAATAGCGTATATTTGTCTGGACAATCTTTCTTCAGTTTCTTATGTATCTCTGCATTCGTCTGTAATGATATGAAGAAATTGCAACATAAAAACTGAATTAACATTAATAACTATTAATATTTTAATAAAGTCAAATCTATCTTTTATCACAATAACCATTACCAGCATTAGCTATTTGCCAAAATTTTATTGCTTTTCATTATTTATTATAGGAACAGGAGAATGAGTTTGTGATGTGCATTTACTTAAAATAATTTTTATGTATTTTTATATATTTTTGTTTAAAAATACAATATAAAATATAAACATAACATAAAAATATCTTTTTAAGAATATTAAGAAAGAGACATTAAAGAGACGAACTATTAACAAATCATGTGCCTCTGTAAGAAATTATTTGCTTACCACAACAATTATTATGATTTCTCATTGAGGGTTCATTTTCTATACCGTCGAACCGTGATGAATCAGATAAGTCTGAAAATCAAATATTTTATTAATATGTATACTACATACAAAATAATATAAACAATAATAAACAAAGCATTAAAGCCATACGCTGCTTTTTGAACTATCTCGATTTGTATTTGTTAACAATTGGTCTTACAGACATTTGAAAATCAAATATTTTATTAATATGTAGTATACATAGATGTCTGTGAGATCAATTAACAAATACGAATCGAGATATTTCGCATTTGTTTATTATTATTTTGTTAATGTGTAAATAGTAGTTTTTTCTTTTCTAGTATTATAGAACAAAATGTTTATTACTAATATTGTAAATTAGTATGTTGTGAAACCGAATCTTAAAGTCATAGAAGTTAATATATTGTAGTTTTATTAGTTTTATTAGTTTTCCTTTTGAAAGCATAAATCAACATAGATGTGCTTATCGCTCATTAGTTCATTTAGAACAGACTTATCCAATGAACCTCGAGCACACTCAATTTGTGGTCTAATTTGTGTTCTCAAAAGAGAAACTCCTTAAGAGAAGGATTTGTCTCAGCTTCTTTAAGTATTAGGTGTACAACTTTGCTTCCGCCGTTTTTTTTCCGAAATTCGAGGCTTTATTGTAAAAAACTGGTTATACATTTATAATTCAAAGTATTGTCTATCGCTGGCCACTACTTTCTCCCATCTTTCGGATAGCGTACGAATCCCGCGTCGAAAAAAGTGGTCTTTTGAGGCTATCCACGAATCGATCCAATTTTTTACTTCTTCATAAGACCGAAAGTGCTGGTCAGCCAGGCCGTGTGCCATTGATCGAAACAAGGGATAGTCAGAGGGAGTAACGTCTGGAGAATACGGCGGGTGAGGTAGGACTTCTCATTTCAACGTTTCCAAGTATGTCTTGACCACTTTCGCAACATGGGGCATTGTCATGTTGCAAAATTACTTTATCGTGTCTCTCGTTGTATTGCGGCCGCTTATCTTTCAATGCTCGGCTTAAACGCATCAATTGCGTTTGATACCGATCGCCTGTGATTGTTTCAGTCGGTTTTAACAGTTCATAATACACTACGCCGAACTGGTCCCACCAAATACAGAGCATGACCTTGGACGTCAAAATCATGTTCTTGAAGCGTTGAAATCACTCACGACACGTTCTTTCTCTAATAGCGGCCTCACATAAGTATTTGAGAGTATTCGATGAACCTCAGCCGCAGATTTCTTCATATTGAAGCAAAAAATTAAAACCTCCCGCAAATGACGAGAATTTGGCTCGTAAACTGATATTTTCAATCGAGAATAACTTTATGATGCAGACACAAATCGACTAATATTTCTATGGGGTTATGTTGACAGATACCCAAGTTTATTGTATGACGTCTATGATCTATTTATTTCGACCACCACTTTCCGCTAAAGCCACTTATAGGAAAACGGCGGAAGCAAAGTTGTATACCTAATACATAAATCTAGTAAGTATAAACTTGGACAAACTTCTAGCAAGTTTTAATAAATTTTAATAAATATAAGCATTGGGAAATACTATTGAAAGTCCTTATTATTTATATTCCTACTTAGCAACATCACAGAAACAGCAGTACACAGATTGCAATTGTAAATTTTAAAGAAAATATAGGTAATAGATTCATTTTTTTCCTATTAAGTTTTTGATATTGTGTATATACGTTGATATAAACTGTGGGATTGTGAACACAGGACTTAACCAATTTTGTATATCAGACAAGTGATGTTCATCGTGTTGCTCCTGATCCATTGGCTTGACTTTCCCAAGGCTGATAGATAACGTCGGGAATTTTTATCGATTTTTGTTGACTTTCTACAGAAATTTAAATAAAGTTACAAATAGGAGATACATATATCTCCACTGTTAATGATATGAGATAATTATTTTTCATACTTTTCAAATCGTTGACCTGTTTCGAAGTAAAGTTTACTGCACAATAAACAAAAGTATACACAATTAATCATGAAAGATTTTAAAATATTATGAAATAATTAGCTTCATCTAAACTTACAAGACTGTTGACAATCTGGCGAGAATGCATGCTTACTATTTAATTGCGATTGTAATGCCTTGGTTATTCCAATTGTAATAAAGTAAAGTTCGCCGATTTTGTTGACGTTTCGACAACTCAGAAAATTGTTTGGGCATTTTCGGGTTTTCTAGTTATTTAATCATGAATAATTAACCTACACAATCCGGTTCTAACTATATTATTCTTTTTTTAAAATGTCTTTAATTAATAATTAAATACATAAATAATATTTTACACAAAAATATATTATCATAGTTGCACTAATGTTCCCAAATCTTTAATAAATCTTTTATAATATAATATTAATTCTATTCTTTAATTATTAACAGACTCCCAGCCGATATTTCTGCAATCGCCATTTATTAGCTGTTGTATGCTGCATCGTGCGCAATCACGTGCGCGTACACTGCAATGACATCTCACGAATATTTTGTGACTTTTTGACAAGTCGACTTAAAGTCGACTTAAATTGACTTTTAAAAAATAGATTATATATTATTCTTATAGGTAGTAATCCGATTCATATCCACAACGCTCATGAAGAGCATTCGTCCTATCCTTAGTTTAATTATAATATGATTAAACAACAAGGACAAAATGATTTCAATTTTGTGAGCGTAAATCGCATTAGACGTCCTAAAATCGACATTGGAAAGATGTACAAAGTCGACTCTAAAGGCCTGACTTAGCAAAGTCAACTTACAGTCGACATATCGACGTTGTGCTGTTAGAATTCTCACGATCGGTCGTTTGCATTTCAACAACTAAATTATCATTTGCGCCTTGGAGACGCCTCATTCTTTGTATAAACATTGGCCATATCCAAAATTTCCGTTTTCTTGTATATTTTGATGTTGTAATAAAATGTTATAAGCGAAATAAAATTTTCACACACTCTTAAATATCGAAATATGACGCCGAAATATAACATTTCTTGCATTTCACAATAATTTTAACATTACAGATAACTATTTCTTTATCCATTCTTGTTGTAAATTAAAAAAAAAATTTTTGAATATTCGTTTCAATTTTTAGATTCAACCAACTTAGCTGAACCATTCCGTTCCGTAAAAATTTTCTTTACCTATCTCATGTAGCCGGAACGTAATGGAATTTTGATAACAAAATATATCTCACTCTTATAATTCAGTATTTTTAAGTATTCAAAATAATGTTGTAGGTAAGATAATTACACAAATTATGCATAGTATTGCTTCATTCGCATTAAAATAACGATTAAATTAAGCAACTCAGCAAACGAGAATGGATTGAAATGAATTGAAACGAATTCAGATTTTCAGAAATATTGATTCACGAATGTTAAAATGAATGTTTTTCAATCCTGAATGCATTTATACTTATTTACGGAATTGCACGGAGCATATCTCTATGCCTTTCAATCTAAAAATAATATTATTTTCTTTTCTGTGCATTGTGAATACTGTTCAATTCAAAATTTTGAATAGGAAATGCAGTTTTTCAATCTAATTGCACCAGGGAGGTTATTATGATTCTTTAGATGAAGTGAAACAAAAATGAGCAAACTCAAGTGTTAACCAATGAGGTTATAAATATTCTAGTAAATTTGATCACTTTCGTAATTTTCATCTCATTTCAAGAACCGTAATAAATTCTCTGATATTCTTACAACATGCTTATTATTATATATTTTTCATATATGTGTTTTATTTCATATTTATTATATATATAATTTCAAATTGTGATACATTAATAAAAAATAATTTATGATTTTGTTTTAATAAAATTTGTAAAAAACTGAAATTTGAAAAAACAAAAATTTTGTGAATTTTAGAGAAATAGGAGAAATTAGCGGAAAATTTTGGAAAAAAAGGGAAATTTTAAAGAGAAATAGGGAAAACCAGGGAGATTTTCATATGCCAACAAGGAAATGTCTTTGCTGGTATCTGGCAACACTGACTGTAGATATGCGGAATTGCGGAACGTTCGTGATTGGTCGTGGCTTCATTTCGTCGATTCCGCTGTTTTCTATTGTACAAATTATTGTACAAATTATTTCTTTTGCAGATTTCGCCGATGCCGTGTATGCGTGTGCATGTTTACTTATAAAAACTAACCTTATTAGCTAATAAGGTTAATTAATAAAAGCTGATTTAAACGGAGAAAACTGTTTCTTACAAGCGCATAGTTAATTAACATACCGAGGCGTGTTCGGATTCCCACCTAGGTGTCCTCCGAGTGTTATGTCAACCTTTAACATTCGTAAATAACAAGAATGGAATGACCTGAGTAGCATTCGGATGGGAATCTGAATCCTGAAGGTAATTAAGTCTCCAGATAAATACGAAGGTTAATATGATCAGGGGATCGATTCTGTATCTTGAAGGGGGAGGGGAGCGAGGTGAAAATTACAAAAGTGAGCGAATTTAGAATACTGATAATTTCATTGGTCAATACCTAATAAATTTGCTCACTTTTGTAATTTTTACCTTGATTGAAAATATAGAATCGACCCCTTGAATACAAATATCGTATACATAGCATAGAAAGACGAAAATGTGAATTAAAATCAAAATAAGTACACAAAACAAAATTAGGATAATGTTCCTGTATAATGTGTGATTTCCGATCCGCAGAAATTCATTTTCTTTTCCCATTGAGCACAGTTTCCCATTGAGCAATTTGCAGATGCATAATCTAATGCGGGTAAATAACAAATGCTATTCTGATAGATCTAATTAAATCGATCTACTGGAAGACTCTTGTGATTGGTCAGAACTAATTGCACATTCCGCAAATTCCACTCAATGAGACAACATATTTTAGCTGAATGGAATCAGCGGAAGCCACGACCAATCACGAACATTCTGCAGTTCTGCATCCCATGGGAGCGTTTTCTAAGGCTGAATTCACACCTTGACAGAAAAACGGAAAAGCGGAAGCCAATCAAAACTCGCGGAAAGACAGAAGTAGACAAGCGAAATGTACCGCCTACTAGTACTGCGAATTCCGATTGGCTTCTTTTCCATTTTCCACTTTTCCGTCAAGATGTGAACCCGGCCTTAGGATACTTTGACGAAAAAATGGAAAATGAAAAAGCAGCAGCCATCAAAACTCTAGCTGATAATCTACAATTTCAGCTTTTTGTTCTACTTACTACTAGTGTGAGTGTACAATAATTTGTACAATAGAAAACAGCGGAATCGACGAAATGAAGCCACGACCAATCACGAACGTTCCGCAGTTCCGCATATCTACAGTGTTGCCAGATACCAGCAAAGACATTTCCTTGTTAGCATATGAAAATCTCCCTGGTTTTCCCTATTTCTCTTTAAAATTTCCCTTTTTTTCCAAAATTTTCCGCTAATTTCTCCTATTTTTCTAAAATTCATAAAATTTTTGTTTTTTCAAATTTTAGTTTTTTACAAATTTTATTAAAACAAAATCATAAATCTGATTGGCCATTGCTTTTCTGCTTTCTGCTTTTCCATCAAGGTGTAAATGCGCCCTAAGAAAATCAACAAGTTGGGCTGCGGATTTCTATTTGGATGCCCTGTCATATCATCCTTGTTGTTTATCGAATGTTAAACAAGGATGACATGACATCCAAGAAGCACCTGGATGGGAATCCGCAGCCTTGGATTGGCTACTGCTTATATTATGGCCTTATCAACGGAGTAATAAATAATTTCCCTGATTTCCTGAACACACCTTAATTGATGTAAACTAGATCTTTATCAAGGCCTACCCGACAGGTTTCGTAACCTCAGTAGTAATTAACTTCGATATTGATATCTTATTTCGCGGTGTACACTTTTCTTTTTTTTTTATTTTATTCAAAAACGCATCGAATGAGTATAATTTCATCGAAATAAAAGATGAGGGGCATCTTCTAAATAATTACCCATGCCGATTTTTATTTATGGGAAAATTATTTTGATATTCTTTGTTTATTAAAAATTAAAAATACATTTGGTAACAATAGATCTGCTGTGATATAGCATATATAAATAGCTAATCGCTTTTTTAAAATTCTATCAAAAAAATCCAACTTTGTACATTTCTATTAAAATTTTTAATAAGATTATATCAGTTTTCTTTGAATTAAGTCAAATTTTTCTGTTATGCTTGCAATGGGACAATATTTCCTGATTTTACACTCCTTACAGAGCCATATGGAATTACATCGCTTACTATGTATGCTTTTGTGTGAACTACAAGATCTTGAATGAGAAAACAATTTTGAAACACTCTATATGTCGTCTGTCTAGTACAGTTGAAACAGCAATAAATTACTTCACAACTCAACACGTTTCGTGTCTCCTCATAAGTTATATCTATCTCGAAAAGATTGTAATAAAAAATACATAGAAGAATCAGATAGAAAAGACCTCCACGGATCACAAATCAACTTTGATAACGATTGCCGCTTGATATCACTTGTTTGTCTCTCCTCTACTTTTATCTGTTTGTCACACGAGTCAACTGCAAATATAATAATGGCTGATCAAAATCATGAAGGAGTAATCAATTTTGGCGCTGGTCCAGCTAAATTACCACATGAGGTATATTAAAAATATTTATTACAATTTGCATTATGCCAATAAAAGTTGTAAAGTTAAAAAATTGTTTTTTAAAAACAAATAATTAGTTTTAGAAAATTTATTAATAATCTAAGTGTTTCTAATCACTGTAAAACATACGATTTTTTACCTAAATAAAAATCTATATAACAATTTACTAATTATAAAGTGCAATAACTTTATTAACATATGTTTCTAAGAATAAGTTAACCTTATAAGTTAAATATTAATGTCATTCGTTAACAGATACAAATAAAATATAACAGATATTGACATTAAGTTTGCATTAATTTCATGTTAACTTCTGTCATGTTAATTTCTGCTGATGTTAATTAATATTTCGACACAATTTAGAACTGAGTAAAAGAATACCTATCATTTCATAACATAATTAAAATGGAATGTGTCACTTAAATGATTACGAAATGGCATTCTGTTCAGTTTTCTATCTACTGTTAATCTGATTTTGTTATACTTTTATTGGTCTTTTACAGATAAAATCTATAGTAGGTACTTTGTAAAATCTGTTTTCGACAAATTTGATTGTTTGAGAACAACATCTTTCAATAAGAAAAATAACATAAATTAATTTTTTTTTAAATGTATTGTTTGATGTATGATATTTTTATTTTACTATCTTTACTTAATTTTTATGAAATCATTTAATGAAATTATATGTGTATAACATATATTTCATATATTTCATATATGTTATGTTACATGTATTTTATACAGAATTATGTATAAAAGATATATGCAGAATGAATATTAACTACTCTAAAAGATTTTAAAGAGTGATTTCTCATACAAATTTATGACGAAAATTTCATATGGCTATATACAAATTATGTTCGTAATTTTTAACAATTTATAGCAATTTAACGATTTATAGCAATTAAGTACACACTAGTGCGCACTCAGTGCACATCAAAGTTGTCTTACACAAATTAAAACGAAAAAATGTGTTAAATGTAAATAGAAATGATTCAATCACAAAATTCTCAGTACACTTTATTGTGCTGTTTGATAATGTAGGGGCTTCCAACTCTGGATCATTTCTTCACTTAAAAAACTAAAGGCTTGTGAAATTTAGAGCTCGAAGTTTTATTGAAAATGTATTGGAGTTATAAAACAATAAAAACAATGCTTTGTTTAATCACTGGCTGCGTTCAGCAAAACAAGCAGCTTTGCATCTGTTGTAACATTTTTTTGTTGAATATGATTGGATTTTATACATTTAGATCCAATTAATGAGAAACTAAGAGCAAGACCAATCATATTAAAGAATTTTATAACAGTTGTAAGTTGTAAAGCTGCTTTTTCTGCTGAATGCAGCCAATAATCTTAGTCATTAAAATTATGTTTTTATGTTTGCATTATTTTTGCCTAATTTCATACATCATTTTATATCATTTATTAGATAGTTTTACATATTTTTTACAACCTACCTATAATAAAAATTTCATAATTTAAAATGTTTACATTTAACTTTTACATTCGAATTAGATCAGTGTACAATGCCTTTAATATACAATAGTGCACATTAGTGTATCCAATCGAGTTTGCTATTCTTTTCAAAGATATAAGATATCAAAATTTAAAAAAAATTTCGAAAATTGTTTAAATTATTTTGATTATTTTTGATTATTTTGATTATTTTTCAATCTAATTTCTTTCCCTCCCCCCCCCCCTCTCTCTCTCTCTTCCCTTCCCTCGCCCCTCCCCTCTCCTCTATTTCCTCCTTCTCTTTTCCTCTCCTTTCCTCTCTCCCCCGCCCTCTTTCTTTCTCAGATATAAATTATGATATAATACAATCTAAAAACAATTGGTTTGTGAATTTCACAATTGGTTTAATATTTCTATATCGAATGAAGTACAAGCATTATTACTAGGTGATAATTTTTGTTTACTGGTATGTAATGTTGTAGTCTGCTACCATAGATTTTATTAAAAACATAGTACATGATACAAGAAAAATGTAAATGAAAATTTCTAACATCATGAATATAAGAAACAAAATTCTTTCATTAATTAATAATCGTCTCGGTAGTCTAAAGACTTAGAACAGAAGAGATTTGGGTTCGATTCTCAGCCGAGGCAATATTTTTTGCAATAAGTTTATTACAGTTTTTAAGATTAATTTGGGAAATTTGGGAGAATTATTAATATTTCAGATTGATTGCGTTGAAAGTCCGACAATCATATCGGTACGCAATTATCATTTCCGAAATTAATTCATTTATATGAATATACATAATAGTTTAACATCTTAACATTCAGACCGTAGTGATGCTTCATATTTAAAATAATGTATTTAACATAAACGTTCTTGTTTCCAATCTTATTGTTTAATTAATAATATAAAACAAGGTAGAACTTTCATAGGAAAACAGATCGAGTTTCTTTTTTGTGAAACTAAAAAGTTTGTCAAAAATAATCAAGACATACTATTTACTCACGCGGACAAAGGTTGTGACTTTGAATAAGTTTGATTATAACAAAGAAATGCTAGTATTGCTTGATTGCAATACTTATATACAAGTTATAATGGTGAACAAGATAATTATTAATTTGAAGAATATGTTGAAGAGATGGAGAAGTTTAGAAATGATAAGTCAGTTTAACTAAATATTTAAATTCATCCAATCCAAATCTACCACGAGTATACAGTGTTCCCAAGATTATAAGCATAATTGCCCATTGCACATCATAGTTTCCTTCATTGGAAGTCCTTTGCAACTTAGCGACGTTCCTACACAATATTCTAAAAAAATAGCTTGCCTCCAGCCAATAGTCAGTAATAGTTATAGGTAATAGTTTTCAACTCATTAAGGACATAAAAAATCTCAAAATTAACAATAATGATACACTTTTCTCTCTGGAAGTAGTATCTCTTTTTACCAACGTTCCAACAAATTTGGTTATGGAAGGAATTAACAAGATATAGCATTTTACAACCGAACACTAGATTAACAAAATACCGCGATGAGAAAATTCACTGAATTAACATTTGGAGCCAAAATGGCGTCGAAGTGTTATCCTAACCTGATTCTGTTAAAAGATCGGAAATCTATACAAGGGTTTGGAAGAAGAAGAAGAACCTGATTTTGTTATTAACGGAAATGCCCAGTTGCTGTGTTAAAAATTGCAAGAACCGCGAAAGAGGCTGGAATTTTGAATAACTGCGATATCATGGAGCCAAAACGGCGGCAGTTTGCGGTACTTTATTAATCTAGTGAACACATGTTTGACTAAGAAAGAGTTTTTAAATTTGGGATAAATTTGGTTCTTGATTCTACTTATTTTAACTTCAATGACAAAACTTATAGACAGAAATTGGGTATGTCTATGGGTTATTGCCAATAATATCGAACATAATCCTTCAAGACTTAGAATCTGACATTTTAAATAAATTGACAATCAAACCTTTGTTTTGTGTACGCTATGTGGATGATATTGCTCTTGACAAGACATACATTGACGATTTTATAATATGTTCAACAATTACCATTCGAGACTTAGTTTTACATTGAAGGAGAGGGAGGGGGGGGGGAGTGACAAATTGAACGTTTTGGATGTTACCTTGATAAAAGACAAGGATTCGATCATGATTGATACCATAAGGCTACAAGAGCGTTTTTTGAACTTTTATTCTCAGCATCCTATAAATAAAAAAATAGGTATAATATTGGGCTTGGTAGATAGAGTTCTGTCACACCTTTTATTTAAATCAAAGTTTCATGAAAAAAATGTTAATAAAATCATAAAAATCTTGAATGGATCCCATTAGAGTTTTCTCCATCATCAAAAAAAGATCACATAAAAAATTTAATGTATGGAACACTATTACTGACAAGAATGAAGAGAATAGTTCAAAAACAAAAAAAAAATATTTTTTACATCATATATGAGATGAGCAGAATTTTGAAAACGAGAATAGGTGAACACAAAAATTATATAAATTGGAGAACACAACAATGTTCTGTAATTACGGATCATCGCTTAAAATATGGACATGAATTCGATTGGAATAACATAGAGATTCTTGACGAAGAAAGAATTTTAAATAAAAGACTTATTTCGGAAATGATTTTCATTTGCAAACAAAAAAATAATTTAAACTGACTAACACTGAACTGTTAGACAGCGCTTACGACAACCTATGATTAATAAATATTGATTAATAAATAAAGCTTCCTCTCTTTAATATTTTCTTTTCTATTAGTTATTTCACATATTGCTTATTTTTTAATTAGAGTTATAATTGTTGTTTTGTTAACATGTCATTCTCATTACATGTCATTCTCATTACATGTCATTCTCTTTGACGAAACTCATGTTAAATTAAATTTTATTAAATTAAATTTTATGTATATATATATTAATTTAAATATTAAGCAATGTTTTGCGTTTATTAGTAATATATTGTAATGCTTTCATTTATTATTGTGTCAGGAAATACGATTTCGGAAATGTAAATTTCTGATTTTGAAAAGGATCCGAACTATCGAACGTTTGGAGTTTGTATGAGAGATTAAATAAAGGAAATTCATACCGAGATCCAGTGCATAGCTTACAAAGGCATTAATTCATTGATCAATTTTTATAAAAAAATATTAAGATTTAGAGTTCGCTAGTGAATGATTTTTAAAGTTTCGATTTTCTCTAATACATGTTCGATTTGATGCAAAAATAGTTTAATCCGTATTTTAAATGTGGTACTATATGTTTTTTTGCTGAATATGATGTAATAATTCATTTAGCTTTATGATATATATCTTAAGAAATACATTTCGATTAATGTGAAAAAATAACCAAATTTCGAGTTCAAGATCGATTTTAACAAGGTTCCAAGTGTAAAAATGGATCATCATTCCTTTCAAATTGTAGGTCTATTCATTCAGAACAAGATCAAGTTGAAATTTTCCAGGGATCTCCTACAAGGCTTTAAAAAAAAAAACATGTAACTGTTTAATTATAAA